TGAATATCGCTGATTTTAACGCCATTTCTAGCCATCTCTCATCGCAATGTTATTCTCTTTATTAAATAATCTTTCAAAAACAAAATATACTTTTCTGAAAATTTATTTGAGGAATATTAGCTGATTTGAAATTTAATTAATCTAATTTGAAACAAATATTACTTACTTTAAGTTTAAATGATCGCAGAAAAGCATTTTCAACATGGTAATAGATATTTATTTTAAGTGTTGACAGGTCAACAGCTTGACTGACAGAAGTTTATTTAATTTTTATCTACAGTGGACAAATCTGAGGAATATAACGTGATCGTCTTTTTTAGTTGGTGAACGTTGCCATAAGCCTTGCTTTCAGTTCCCCTTTGTTGTTACAAGGAGTTTTGTTGGTCTCTCGCTCGACTGGTGGCCAGATGTAAGGGGTGATGCAGTTGCAGAAATTGTCTGGCAGCCATGACTGGGTTCTCCTGCTTGTGTGGCCTAGTGAAGAGTCCTGCTGCCAGGCATAGTGTCTTCCAGCAGCCACTCTCTTGACCTAGGGAAGAACTACATCCTCAAGGTACTTGATGTAGGCCTACGTGTTGAGTTTGAAGCCCTGTTGCCATCATTAGTGATCACTCTAAACACCTTCGTAATCACCATTAGATTCCTCGAACTCTTTCCGATTCCTCTGCACCGTCCTCAGAATGTCGGAAGTAATTGCGTCATGGAACTCTTTTTTCTTACAATTTCCAACTGACAGCCTATACAGTGCAGTTGACAAAATCAAAAACAAACAACGCGCATGCGCAAAATTAAAAATATAAAATGACAACAATTTACCATTGCAGCCTGTATATCACCTTCTGTTTTACTCGCCTAAGAAATAGTCTTTTACGTTCTACCAAAGTAACTGATTAGGTCGCCCGTCAGGACGCCTCCATTGTGTCATCATTGAGGTTTCAGTTGCACTCATATTAGGAGACACAAGGAGCTACTCTATGTGATTCCGTAGTTTCTGAATATTAGGTTTCATCCATTGTTCATTATCAATGACCATTTTGCCTGACACCATTGCAGTTCAATGCCACAAATCTGCTCTGATAGATGATCCCATTGGCCAAATTCGACGTCCTGCTGCAGGTGTCTTTAACGTAACCATAGCAGTGCAGGCTTCCGTGTGCTATGCTTTGCCAAAGGACAACCTGTAATTTGGTACCAGCTCCATATACGATTTTGAATTCAGAGTTGACTTTTCTCTGATTGCTATTACGGCTAGAGAGCCCAGTCTACCTTGCTATTTAACTGTTATAATGAGTCATTTAAACCAACACAATTGCTCAGTGTATTAACGCGCAATATTTGTACAGGTTCATGAATTCTCTTTGAATCCTATGAAAAACGGGAAAGTATTTTCCTATAAGCTGAAGATGTTGAAGAATTAGATGAATGTTAATTATATTATCACTTATAAATCAGCCCCCACTTTTTTTTCAAGTAGTCCCACACATTTTTCATTTAAGGTAAATTCATTATTCGGTATGCTATTTTATGAGTGAAGGCCCATTTTTTTTCATCCCTTATGACTCCAGTTTGTAAAATGCTACCACATCAAAAATAAATGCTTAACTCCATTAACTAATTTGAAATCATCATGTAGTTAAAATGTCTATTATGAAAAAAGAAAAAAAAAAAAAATGAAAATGAAGAGAAATGTTGCATACACGCAGTAAAAAATATTACAATCTAAAAATATTTTCTGGCTTTAAATAACCTGTAAATGTTTCATAAACCGTAGAAAACCATTCAATCAATCAATAAAGCAATAATTGTCCTGCAGAAATAAAAGCCTGTGAAAATGAACTGAAAGAGAAAAAAAAACAAAAAAAAAAAACGGAAAACAGACAATGCTGAGGAGGTGAAGGGCCACAGATATTGTAGATTCGGAAAAACGCTCATGGGAAAATATATCAGGCAAAAATGTATTTTCCCGAGTTTCTTGAAAATATTCAAAATACCTGTGAAATAAATTTCTCTAAATGTAGAGGAATGATCATGATTTACATTGATTAGAGTTTCTAGGTATACTTAAAACAGAAAAAGGAGCAGCAGTGATCAACAGGGTGATTCGAGTGGGAATACAAGGATGGATCAGTAAAGTCCATAGCTTGACTCAGTTATTAGTTGAATCATGGTCTGAAATTTCCTCTGTATAATGTTCGTATACGTTATGTCAAGTACATTGCTATAATAAGAGATTATATCAAAAATTAATCATTTGATGTGTAAAACATTTTGTTTTCATCATTAGGAATCCGATTTATTGTCTTACTTACATATGGAGGTGAAAGTTCAAGATGCTACGAAAAGAGAAAAATCTACTTTCATACGTTACGAAAACGACACAAAATTCTTAATTTCAATGTCTCTTGAGTTGCTTTGAATGTAGATACAGCGTATTGTGCAATCTGCATGATTATTCTCTCCCTTGTCTGCCCAGTAGTTTCATTAATTGCCCAGGAGTAGTTAATCAGTAAGCAATCAATGAGACCCCTTTGCAGCGAGATTTTATAGTAAATCGTATAGTGACACCTGGATTAGCCAATCAATCAGCGTGCTTTCGTTATTATCATGACACGTCACCAAGTAGATACCCCATAGTGTAATCAGTATCATGTGATGCATGTTTACCTGAAATGTTTCTGTATATCTAATCAGACTCGGCGTATGCTTGTGATGGCATGCTCGCAAAATGACCAAAATATTTTGGATATTTCTTTCAAATGGAAATGGTAACGGTGAAATCAACCGTTTCCATCCAGAAAACATTTGGTATTCATTGACCGAACAGTTAGTTTTAGAGTCGGTTAAAATTTATAAAATATTTTTTCTTCAAACAGTTTTTCGGGAAAATAGACTTCGTAAGTTCACTTACGTTTATCGTTCATTCTAGTATTGATAGGAGTTTCCTTTCTAACCTTTTGTTTAAGATAGTGTGGAAAGTCAACATCGTCATTATATTACTATTTCCCTTTCTAGTTACATGTGCCACCTATTTTAGTTATTGCTGTTGGAAGACTTCAAGTGATGTGGCTTTTGACGATAATTGCTGATCTGTGATCCGATTTGATACCCCGCTAAAATAGCGTATTTTAGTTGGATAAAAAATATTGAATTTGATGCCTAACATTAACCTGTTTTGTCTGTTAATACTTTTAAAAATGTTTTACAGTAAATTCATCCTATACAAGGACCAGGTGCCACTCGAAGTAGAGGGTTACAGAGTAAGAGGCACGGTTTATGCGGATAGGTAGGGAAGATAACTGATAAACCTAGATTTGAACAGGTTAAGATTGTACTGATCAGGGAAACATCATCTTGGGGGTCGGTTCATGGGAATAAGCTGTTCGAATGGAACTTCTCACCAATGGAATACGAAGAGAATGAGGCTGGTTCGCTACAAGGTGAATGGCAGGGAGGGTTCCAGCCGTGATGGTTAAACCTGGCGGATCCAAAGAGATGCACCCCCCGAGCACTTTCCATGGAAGTAGCGATAGAACAGTGAGAAGCATACCACATCTTGTCTGTGGGGGAGGGCTTGCAAGGTGGAAAATAATTTTTCCCTCACAAGGGCACGGAGACTCTTTTGGACTTTAATAAGATAGAGTGATAGCTAGATTGTTAGTCACGCGGTTTATTTTTAATAAAATTTTGCTGATCCACTAATTTGACTTTGTGCGCCCAATGACTATCTACTAAATTAAAAATACGGAATAAAAGAAATATTTTTAATATTAGTCTGCAGTACATGAAATATCAGATTTGGACTGGCAAAAGTAAAAGTAAAAACATTCTTTGGAAAAAAAAAACGTAAAAACAAGAACATATTTTTATTAAAAGCACGTAATATCATTTCTCCTATATAGCAGTGAATGCTGGGAAATCTCCTCACTAATGAAGAAGAGACTTGAAGCCACAGAAATGTATGGGATTCTACAAAAGGATACTGAGAATACCATAGACTGAACATGTGAGCAACGACAAAGTTTTAGAGAAAATGGAAACAAAAAGGACACTTATACTTAACATCAGAAAAAGATAGTTGAAATTTCTAGGGCTAGGAAAGAAGGCTTGGCAAATTTGATACTCATAGGAGATACTGAAGACAAGAGAGACAGAAAAAAAAACAACGCATAACCTACCTAACGAACTTGTGTAAATGGATGGCAGAACATAATTTAGGAGTGGTGACAAAAAAGACAAAATTTATTAAGAGCTACAACGGACAGGAAGCCATGATTGCCAAAGTTCTGAAGGGACATGGCACATAGAAGAAGAAGATATTTTCGATGGTCGTAAAAGTCCCGTGATTCATAACAAGTAAATGTTTCAGAAATAAGTCATTTATTACGAGTAAGTAGAAACTTCAAATTAACTCAGTTCCCGATTTTCTGACAATTTCCATTAAGTCACTCAGAGTCACCATTAGAGTTTATTTAGCGGCATGTCAACTCATTACGGGTCATTTAATGTCGAAATTTAATTCTCTTGGGAGCATTAGTAAATTCTTTGACAAAAATGTATTGGTAGTAATTTTTTATTTACAAAATTGTATTACTGATAATTTTTATTTTTTAACAAGAATGTATTGCTGGTAACATGTTTTCATATATTGCAGGTAATATGTTATTTTTTTGTTTTTAATATATTGCTGGTAATGTTTTTACTATGAAAATGTATTGCTGGTATTTTTACTATAAAAGTGTATTTTTTATACTTTCATAGTGTTTTAATGCCAGTTGTGCGTTTAAAATTTTGCCCATAGATCCTAACAGTTGCTACCACCCTAGGTCAGGGTGGACCTGAGAACAACATCGATTAAGAGTTTGTTCCACTCTCCTCAAAACCTCCCGATCAGAGGCCTTGCTGCCGGATGTAGTTTATTGTCATACCCAGAACGGTTAATTCAATGCTGATCTCAATTTTCTCCTGTGGAATCCATTAGTCGATGTTTTAATTGTAGTCAGATGGTGCGTAATAATGATGGGGAAAACTTCACAGTCTGCTTCAGGTTGTTTTTCTTCGCATATCTTCCACAATGTTTGTTAGTTGTTGTTTTTTTTTATATTTGTGGATTTTCTTCGAAGCTCATTAAGAATATTTTTATAACTCAAATTTGAAACTATCTTTGTTTACTCGTTAACAGTCCCTACTACGCAAATGCCAACTGCCCAACTTCAAACTTCTGTCTATATTTCTGAGATGAGGTGTTATGTACACTATTTACATTATTCGGACTATTGTGATAAATATGGCAACAAAGATGAGGACAATAGTCCGAATAATGTAAATAGTGTTCAAATGCATTGTTTGCTAATTTACGCTTCTATAAAAACAGTAATTGTGCTTGCTTTTCAAACGACATATTTTTAGTGGTGAAAACAGAAGAGTTGGTGATGAACAGAAAATCTGAAAAGTGACGTCTAAAAGTAAAAGTTTCATATTAGCAAATGATACATTCTAACGTACATCGACTTAAAGTGATCCTGATATCACCAAACATAGAATAACAGTGAATTCGACATTTCATGTGATGCAACCTAATTTCAATCAGATGCTTATAAGAGTTAATTTTTGCGAAACATTTTGGCTCATTTTTTTTGTGATTTTGTTAGGCTGAGTCATAGGTAATTTCCGCTTTCAGGAACCAGTCGTAATGACGAATGAATCGCCCTTACGACTAATCATACGTGGCAGTTAAGAATAAATTTGAGGTATATTAACTTACAGCAATGTTCGACACAAAAGTAGTTAATTGACACGGATAAATCTCAACAACCGACCACGAAAGCTGTGCTCCATGTAAGAAGGTTAATGTGATGCAATTGACGGTGTATTATTCATTTACAGTTCTTAAAACGCAATGAAACACTAAATGTACATTTATGTGTCCATAAAAGTTTAGTCAAAATGCGCCCTACGCTCGTCAAATGAAAAATGTTGTTCTATTCAATAACCATACAAGGCGGCATACAGTAAGATTAACAGAGGAGAATTTTGGAACTCAATTACTCTGTTCTACCCTACCTGCCATATTTAACTGAACTTGCACCACCCGATTATTACCTTGCATCAACCGATTAACTTGCACCAATCGATATTACCTTGCAGCACCCGATTATTACCTTGCATCAACCGATTATTAATATACACCAACTGATTGATTATTACCTTGCACCAACTGATTATTACCTTTTCGGTCACTGCAAAGCGCTTTGATGCGGAAAACCAGATTCAAAGGTTTTCATATCAAAACCAACGAAATTTTACTCAAAAAGTATTGAAAAGCTACCCGATAAATGACAACAAATCGTTACAAATAATGGAGAATATATAATTGAATAAAATGTAATTGTACTTTGTTGTTGAAAGACAAAATTTGATAAACATAAACGGAAATTATCTATGACTCCAGCTAATAGTTCACTTTTGCAAAGAATTTTAAAATAAACCGAATTTCTTTGAAAATGGAACCGATATTCCGATTCCAATGCTTGTAGAATCAGTAATAAAATTTTAAATTTTTTGCAAGATTTGTTTTTATTAAATGGAGCAAGCCATGCTTTCCTCATACCAATATTTCTCATAATTTGAATGCTGAATTTATAATTCGAATGGCGTTTAGGGTATGGGAGAGCTGTCAGATTTTGAGAAGCCTACCATTTTTAAGAAATGATAATAGTAATATTAGCCGTTTCCCTATAAGGAAACATTTGGCATTCATTGATCGAGCAGCCAGTACTGCTTTCGACTGAAATTTATAAAATCTTTCTTAAAACAACTAGGTTTCTTAAGACCCGTAGCTCTTACCACTCTTTCTAGTATCGATGGGTGTTTCCTTTCTAACCTTTTATTTGAAGTTGTGTGGAACGTCGACATCTTGATTATGTCTTTATTCTCTCTTCTAATTACACATGACATCCATTTTAGTTATTGAATGTTGCTAGTCCCTAAGAAATGTGGCTTCTGTTACTTGGTACAGTTCTTTATGAATCTGTAGGGTTGAATAATGTTCAAAGGATGATCTTTGCCAAGACCTTCAGGCTACACTTTCCCAAAGCATTTTATACCATTAATCTTTGGAAGCGATTGTATACACCGAACAGTTTAGATATTTCTGAATGGGTTTGGCCCCCATCCATAGGAAAGTTTCGAATTGATGAGGCTATTTAAGAACATGACTCAAGTTTTCAGATTGGTGTTCTGGTTTTCTAGCAGTTTGCAATGTAGAGCAAAACTATCTCTGTTGTAGCCAGTACTAAGTCCATTACTATCCATACTTAATTTGTTATAACTGATCCATACGCCGAGGTGTCTGAAGTGCTTAGTATTTACTAATTCCACATCCTGAATTTTTATGATGGCTTCAGTGTAGGTGCCACCACTGCTTTTAGTGGTCTGCAAAGTTAATGAAAGTTACTTGAGAGAAAAGTTGAATATGTAATAATTACTTGCCTACCTACTTATAGACTGATCTGTCCATCAGAGTTCACAAAAGATTTGATTACTCACCTTGTAGAGTTAGCTTATTACGAAACGGATCCGCATAATGTTACCTGGAAATTAATTTTAATAATATTTTAATCACATCAATAATCAGACTTCATGCACCTACATTAATGTCTACATGCAGACCTACTTATCACCTACACTTGCTTGCCTATCTATCTATCTATCTATCTATCTATCTATCTATCTATCTATCTACCCCAGTCTGTTCATATCTCCTCGCACTCTCTCTCTCTCTCTCTCTATCTATCTATCTATCTAATCCAGTCTGTTCATATCCCCCGCTCTTTCTCTATCTATCTATCCCAGTCTGTTCATATCTCCTCCCACTCTCTCTCTCTCTCTCTATCTATCTATCTATCTAATCCAGTCTGTTCATATCCCCCCCTCTCTCTCTCTATCTATCTCTATCTATCTATCTATCTATCTATCTATCTATCTATCTATCTATCCCAGTCTGTTCATATCCCCCACTCTCTCTGTCTATCCCAGTCTGTCGACATCTCCCCCACTATCTATCTATCTATCTATCTATCTATCTATCTATCTATCTATCTATCTATCTATCTATCCCAGCCTGTTCATATCTTCCCCACTCTCTCTCTCTCTCCCTCTCTCTCTCTCTCTCTCTCTATCTAATCCAGTCTGCTCATATCCCCCTATCTATCTATCTATCTATCTATCTATCTATCTATCTATCTATCTATCTATCTATCTATCTATCCCAGTCTATTCATATCTCCCTCATTATCTCTGTCTCTCTATGTATCTATCTAATCTAGTCTGTTCATATCCTATCTATCTATCTATCTATCTATCTATCTATCTATCTATCTATCTATCTATCAGCTGAATTGTCTGCTTAATTTCAACGAACGTATCCTATTACCGACTACCAACTTCTTTACCGATCTGTGCTTACGAATAAAAACGCTGCTTAGTGAGAAGCGATACTATTTTAATGTGCGACACCTGCAAATTCACATCACATTGCCAATATTGCTTCATTCGTTGGGATAAGTTATCAAATGGCCAATCCGTTTTTCCCTTCATCTTTTATATCTATCTTGTCTACCCCATGTATCCTTGTGCCAGTTTTTTTTAACTCTTTTGTTGTATTTTTCTTATCCCAGACGTTCATTTTTCTTTTTAGTTATTAGATTTTTTTGTTTGGTTTTTCCTTATTTGTTTCCTTTTTCTTTTCTTTCTTTTTTTGTATTACGGCCACATCAAGTTGAAACACCGCTTCTCGTACGATCACCGAAGTTAAGCAACGTCGAACTTAGTCAGCACCAAGATGGGTGACCGTTTGCGAATACCAGGTGCTGTAAACTTAGATGTGTGGTGGTATAAAGGTTCGGGAATTTTAATCGGAGAGCCGAGTTCCAATTCTAGTTGGGTTCATTGCATTCACTTACACGCAAATACTCTCGGGAAAGTTATGAATATATCTCTTCTCCACCAGCTATGGGTTAAATATTAAGGCATGGTTCACAAAACCTTTATTAGCTAAAAAAAAAGAACCTGACTTGACATCTCAACTTCATTCACTTTCTCACCGACGTGACGTGGCTCCCCTCTGTCTTTTCTACAAATATTTTCATGGCGACTGTTTTAATGAGCTTTTTTCCCCCTAGCCCATCGACTACATGAATTTAAACGTGCTACTAGATTGGTAACTAGGTCTCACCGTTTTGCTGTTGAACCAGCTATATGCAATCATCATTTCTATTCTAACATTTTCTTTTCTTGCACCTCTTACTTGTGGAACTCATTTCCGATTTCTTGCTCCTCTGCCACCTACGGTCTTCAAAAATTTAAATATAACTTCAATCGTCATCTTATGTTTTTTTGAACCTCCTTTCTTTATTGCCCTTTCCCAACTTCTCCTCACTAAAGTTTTCTTATTCTCTTTCAATCCTTGTAAACCCCTGCGCCCTAGTGGCATTATCGCTTTGCTTGGAGGGTGGGAGGAATGATTAAAACAACAACAAAAACCAAACTAGTTTTATTTACTTTTCTTTCTGCAATTCATTCTTTTTCTTAGTTTTCCTTTTCCCCGCTTCCTTTTTCAAACTATTTTTCATTTATGTAAATTCCAATATTTCTTTCATTTTTCTTTCTGCGTTTCTCTCTTGTTTGTTATTTTCCCATTTTTATTCGTTTTTTTTTCGTCTTCTTTTCCTTCTTCTAGATTTGCTTCATTTTTATTTGCTAATATTAAAAATTCTTTTTTCCTACTTTAATCTATTTTTCAATAAATTTTTCATTTTCCTCCCATTTTGTCATCTATTTTTATTTTACTTACATTCATGTTTTCTTAGTTTTTCCGTTTTTCCTCTTCTCATTTTCATTTCTTGTCTCTTTTCTTCTCTCGTTCTTTATCTTTTTTAATTCCATTATACTTCCCACTTATGTTTTTTTCCCTTCATTTATTGATGTTTTCTTTCTTTTTCTTTCTTTCTTTCTTTCTTTCTTTCTTTCTTTCTTTCTTTCTTTCTTTCTTTCTTTCTTTCAATTGAACTTGTCAGTATACGTCACCTGGCAACAATAAACAACACCATAGTTATTTATTCTTTCATTCATTGACTCGTTCGCTCATGTAATCATTCATACAGTAACACGTGCTACTTGTCGGCTGTTCAAAATCACACAGGAACCATCCACAAATCGACATTAACCTGTTCTCAACGACCGACGCAGGTTTTCCTTCTCCTACTTCTTTCGCTTCCGGCTCTTTTAACCCCTTTTTACCTCTTGCCTAAATTTCTTCCGTTAATCCTTGCATGTAGATCTACTCAGATTTAAAAATCAGGAACCCAACGAAAGGATAAGTTTGTCTGGCGTCCATCGATAAACCCATCTAAATATTTTGACGATGTAAATGGATCTTCTTTATATCTTACTTTCTTGATTCCCGGCACATGCGCATAGCGTTGGATTGTAGAAGCAGACGAGAAGGCAAATATTAGCTAGAACTGGATACAGAGAAGTGAAAGTGAGAAGGAAGATGATTAAAAAACGAAAACTGGAATAAAACGAAGTAAAAAGAAAAACGGTTTGGTTAATTTATTAAGGATTCCAAACTGAATTTCTGGCAGAAAGTCGAACGAAGCAATATTCGATAAAATAAAATCACATTTGGATTAGCTTCTGTTTCTCATCACGATTGAAATTGGTTGGACACTCGACACTGGCCAGATATTGAGCAGTCGTTTGGAAGCCAAGAGATTAGAACTTATTTGGGTAAAAAGAAGAGAGAAAAATAGCGAAAAGTTGAACAGAAAGGAAAATTTTTTGGAGAGAGAGACAGAGAGAGGAGGAGGAGGAGGAGAGAGAGAAAAGTTATGAAACAAAAGGAAAAAGACAGTGTGGAAGTAATGTTGATAGCAAAAGAAAAGGAAGTGAATCATTCGAGATGATACGAGTGAAATAGAGAGAGTGTGAGTAAGAGAAAAGGTTGAAAAGCCTTCTCTTGTGCGTACCCAGTCCGTTCAAGACTACTCGGCCCAGATAAGGAGTTGCCTACTCGAACGTCGCTGCAAAGCATCGGCGGATATTCTCTATTTGCCGTAAGTACTGTTTCCGTATTCATTCATTTAAAGTCAGATTTTCAGGAGTCATCTTACAACAGCTTAAACAATAGGAGATTATTGTTGTTCAGTTGATGAAGATCTTTTTCTCTTTGCTAATTCGAGATCGAATCGAATGTTAACCCGTGGAAAAAAGATGTTTTCACAACCGATATAAATTATCTCGGTCTGATAAGAGTACAATCCAAACGCTTTCAAACGACAATAAAAATAAAATAAAATGATACGATTGCTATTATAAATTGGATGATTGAGGACATGACAGATTGACCTTAGCTGTTGATGCTATGTTGATGAATTTTATTGCCAGGTATTCTTTCAAGTTTATGGAGTTTAACTCAAAGCAAGGTCTTCCTTTTCACTCGGTGTTTACGGATTTTCGTTTTTACCAACCAATTTCAAAATACTGAAATATAATCCGTCATTACGCCTGATAACGTGCCATTTTTTTGTGAACTGCAGTTTAAGGAGAAGGTATTTTGAATTTTATGCTCCAATATAGATCACCTTCATAATGCTCGAATAATACTCTTTTGTTTTACTGTCATACAATACTTTTTTTATTTACTTGAATGAACCAAATCTGGTATAAACCTGTAATCTTGAAATTAAAAGACGGATTAATTTTCTATTTAAAAAATATTTATCTACTACTTTACAAGTGGGTGATTATTAAAAACGTTTGACTGACATTAACCCTTTTTCTGAAGATTGTGTAGCATCTATAAAATTCGTTATTCGAAAGCTAACATCTGAATTCGGACCCGACTGAAGGCAGATTCGCAAAGAATAGCATGCTTTGTATTATAAAAATATTGTTTGCTTTATCAGTTTCTAAGTGAAGTATTAAGGTGGGTACAAGCTTGCTGGTCCCAGAGTGTAGTGGAAAGCTCTAGCATTAAATTTATACCAACCTGCAACTTTATTAATAGCAATTTAAACCTCGTTTGTGGACCGATAATTAGTGAGCTAGTTCCGCAATTTTACGACAGTAGTTCGTTTCTCACTGGGTGCCTAATAATAATAATAATAATAATTATTATGTTAAAACACATGAAGATAATTACATATACAAACTACTGACGCCCGACTCCGGAGGAATGAACAAAAATAACAGGAGAGTTCCATAAGATTTATACTAAACTATTTGATTAATTGCTCTAACTAATCAACTAACGGAGAATTTCAAAATGAGCATGTCTCCATCATGTTACTCACGTTTCAGTTGCATTCATTTAATGCTGATTGCGTTTCATTCGTTTTGTCGCGTTGATTACCATTACAGCCGTTTTTCTCAAGACAGGAGACGTTTGTACAAAGATTTGTATGGGAAAAATATGAATCCAGTTATGTATTAAATAACAGGGTAGAAACATGAATCCAGTTATGTATTAAATAACAGGGTAGAAAACACTTAGCAAACGATCTACGATAAGCAGTACTCTGAATCTAACATCAGGTGTGGGTCTAGCAACTCTGCTCATAAAACGTACTTGTTATGGTTTCAGTAGTGTGGTTGCAGCCCTATACATCACAGGTTCATTGGGTGTGGGGCTAACAAATCCACTCATAAACTTCTGAAACCATAGCAGCACCACCTAGCGTGATGTAGCTGCAGGTTCAAGAGGAGGAGGAATGTTTTTAAAACTGAAGCTAGGATTCATTATTATAATGGGGACTTGCACAAAATGCCCCTTCACCCCGGTCGTTCTTTTTTGTCTGGCAGTGATTTACAGCTTTGCCAATGTTAGCTTGGCAATCTCTTTTCCCTGTCTTAAATTGTATCGATTCAGTAAATAATACGATAAAATCTTGGTCAGGAGGACAGAACGAGGACAAGAAAGGACTCACAAATTTTCTACAAGCATTAAAGGTGAAGTGACTAAGACTTACTGCACCTGGGATTTGGACTCATTCAGGCAATTTCAGATAGAGTATATCTGTAAAATGACAATATGAAAAAAGGCAAAACGAAAAGTCATATTAGCCGACGCATTTCGTCCTGTGATGGACTTTATTAAGGCAAATGCGTGAATATTGTCACTAGTATTTATATAAAAGAGCGAACATGCTATTGGATTTTAAAACTTTTTAAATTTAAGAACGCTTATAAATATCCATTAGGTTAGCCGAAAAGTCAGGCAAACTCTGGAGGACGGCAAAAGACACAGCTCAATGTCTAATAAACAAAGTGGGTAAATGATATTTTCGAAACATTTCACAAAATAAAATCCTCGCATTCGCCTCAGAGGACGAAAAC